TGGTGTAAGTGTGTGAATGTGAATATGAATGCATTTTTATTACGGCCGCACCTCGATGTGAGGTTGCCTACGTATCCGTTAGGAATCAGGCCGAACGTAGCTCTAGCCGAACCCCGCACAAGTGTGTATAACTCAAGAAGGTCTTTTTAAGGGTTGTAACGTGGTTAGGCTAAAGATTTGAAGAAGAAGGGATAAAGGCTCAAGACCCTAGATAAGCCCCCAAGGTGTGCAACCTCGCTTTTGAATCTTTATATTTTTATGCTTGAGTTCCTACTCTTTTTTAGCTCTTTTTGCTTTAGCATTTATTTTATTTTAGTAAGTGTGGGAAATCCCGATCATGCGGTCTATCACTCACTTGGCATTCATGTTTCTCTGGCACGGTATCGAGCACTCGATAAGAGACGCAATATGAGACGTGTTCATATCAAAGATATTTTTATATCAAAGACATTAGAACACTTGCCCTTTTGTAAACTTTTATGATTATTTTATTTTTGCTTATTTTTATTTTGATCTTTTGAATTACTCAAGCTCTTTTTTAGAATTGCATAAGTTACACACAATCCCATCCCGAGGTTAGGTAGATGTAGGTTGAAAAAAGAAAGGTCTATCGTTAGACGAGGCTCAAAGTGGTTTATGAAGAAAGGATTGCATATTTGAAAGGTGAAAGGACATATGATGCAGCTACAAGGGGTGCCTTAAATCATTGGTATACCTTGTGCTTAATTCGACAATGATTTTTATTTTTTATTATATATATATATATATATGTTTTAATGCAATGTAATGAAATGATCATATGTAAGGAAATAAATGCTCATTTTATTAAAAAGGGGAAAAAAACTACAAAATTAATCTAAAGGAAAATAAAAGGTGCCTATGCTAGACTTATTGGGGAAAGGAAAAAATGAAAAAGGTCATGAAATCTTGTCGTTGAAGCTCGCCTTTGTCTTGTGTTGTTTACTCCGACATCATCCAGTCTTCTCGCTAGCTAGAGGCAATGGGATCTTATTCGCCTCTATGAGATCTTGAATGAGGTTTTGAAACCTGTAGCATTCATCAGTAGTATGACCGCGCCCTCGATGGTACTTGCAATAAGAGTTGGGATTCCATCTCGAAGATCGATTTTCTGGTGTTGGATCCTTGGTAGGGCCAATAGGTTTGATTAATCCTCGATCATAGAGACGATCGAAAGCAGCATCGTAGGTCATTCCAAAGGGTGTGAACTCTCGCCTGGGTTTCCTTTTAGATCCTTGATTGTCCATGGCTAAGACACCATTATTGTCAAAGGTACTAACATTATTACTAGAGTGGGAGTTTTCGGAAGAAGAAGGATTGTCGTTCTTCTTTCCTTTCCAGCCACCGTGGTTACTATTGTTAGTAGCTTTTTGCTTTGCGAGGTCATCTTCGATTTCAATTCCGATGTCATAAACGGCCTTGAAAGTATTCAGATTATGTTGATATTTTAAATGCTTTGAATACTTTTCTTGGAGATTCTTGATAAACATCCTCACAGACTCCTTTTCGGTGGGGACCTCAATCATCTTAGCGAAAGTTTCTCCACTACAAGAAAACAGCAAAATTGCGACGGAAAAAGTTCGTCGTAAACTATGTAAATTCCGTCGTAAAGTTGGTTTACGACGGAATTCCGTCGTAAATGGTTGTCGGAAAACCCTTTGTAGGAAAATGGCCATTTTACGACGGAAATTCCGTCGTAAACCAACTTTACGACGGAATTTACGACGGAAATAATATCGTCGGACTTGGAATTGGCCTTTGATGAAGTTCCGTCGCAAACTTGCGACGGAAAAAGTTCCGTCGCAAAGCTACATTACGACGAAATTTTCCCTCGCAAAATATATTTTGTGACGGAATTTTCCCTCGCAAAATACAATTTACGACGGAAAATTCCCTCGCAAAATATAATTTTACGACGGAATTTTCCGTCGCAAGTTATAATTTACGACGGAATATTTCGTCGCAATGTATATTTGTACGACGGAAAATTCCGTCGTAAATCATATTTTGCGAGGGAAAATTCCGTCGCAAATTATAACTTGCGACGGAAAATTCCGTCGCAAATATGTAAATTACGACGAAATATTCCGTCGCAAATTGTATTTCCAGCCCAAAACAAATTTTTGTAATTTTCTGCATTTTCAAACCTGAATTTTTTTTAATGATAAATCGACAAAAAAAAAAAAACTAAATATTGAGTCCTAAAATTGTTGTTTTAAAAAAATTAATTACTAACCTACGAAATTAGGGTTATGTACATATATATAATAATTATGTCCTAGTACAAAAGATAGTCCACATTTTGGTATCTATACCAAACAAAAGCTAGGTTAGAGTGATTCTATGCTAGACTAAAGCTAAGCTACGCAATCGCCTGGAAACCCTGGCCTGCTCCACCACCACCCGGGTCGTTCCTAGGGTCTCGATGCTGAGGATGAATGGTGGAACATGAGTCGTTGTTGTTGAGACGACTCATCATCTCATCGAAACTCTCCTTGTATCTCCTCTCCATTTCAGCCATTCGGGCTTCCATTTGAGTTTGGAGAGTTTGCTTCCTGTGTTCCATCTGGTCTTGCATTTGAGAAATGACAGACGACGTGTATTGCTGTGAAGAACGGGAACCTCGACCCTGTTTGCCATAGTAGAGCTTTGCACTTTGGCCAAGTCCCTTCACACGCCCCTTCTTATTGCGCCCACCCACCGACTCCCAGTACAACTCATTGGGACTCTTCTGAATCCCCTGACTCCTTGTTTCTTCAACTTCTTCTGGTAGGTGTCCTACAAATTATTGAAGATAAAAAAAATATTGTTAAAAAAACAACCAACAATATGGAGTTATATCGCATACTTTTAGGTGCCTAAGGATAGAAATTATGAAAATTAAGCACATGAGTCAATTTTCAACCCTCACTCATCCAAAATCATCCAAATTTGAGCTATAACGCTAAAACCATGCCTATTTTCTAAGTTTTCAAGCAAATGGACTCGTTCTTTCTTCTAAAATTCCAATATCAATTACTTTTAAGTGCCTTAGGATAGAAATTAAGAGAAATAAGCACATATGTCAATTTTCAACCCTCACTCCTCCAAAATCATCCAAATTTGGCCTATATGGCTAAAACCATGCCTATTTTCTAAGTTTTCAAGCAAATGTAAGGTTTCTTTCTTCTAACATTCCAATATCAATTGATTTTAAGTGCCTAAGGATACAAATTAAAAGAAATAATCACATATGTCAAATATCGACCCTAACTCATCCAAAATCATCCAAATTTGGCCTATATGGCTAAAACCATGCCTATTTTCCAAGTTTTCAAGCAAATGTAAGGTTTGTTTCTTCTAACATTCCAATATTAATTGCTTTTAAGTGCCTAAAGATAGAAATTAAGAGAACTAATCACATAAGTCAATTTTCAACCCTCACTCATCCAAAATCATCCAAATTTGGCCTATATGGCTAAAACCATGCCTATTTTCTAAGTTTTCAAGCAAATGGACTCGTTCTTTCTTATAACATTCCAATATCACATACTTTTAAGTGCCCAAGGATAGAAATTAAGAGAAATAAGCACATATGTCAATTTTCAACCCTAACTCATCGAAAATTATCAAAATTTGGCCTATATGGCTAAAACCATGCCTATTTTCTAAGTTTTCAAGCAAATGGACTCGTTCTTTCTATAACATTCCAATATAACATACTTTTAAGTGCCTAAGGATAGAAATTAAGAGAAATAAGCACATATGTCAATTTTCAACCCTAACTCATAGAAAATTATCAAAATTTGGCCTATATGGCTAAACCATGCCTATTTTCTGTAATTATGTTTATGTAGCCGTAGAAGTATAAGTAACGGAAATCAATGAAAGAGATGAAAGTAAGAGTTGATAAAGGACCTTTGATTTACCTTTCAAAAGGATACATCCACCGATATTGAACAGGTCCACATAACTTGCCCTCATATGGAAAATGAATTGGTAAATGATCCATGGAGTTGAAGAAAGATGGGGGGAAAACCTTCTCAAGCTTGCACAAGATCTCAGCTATGTTTTTTTCCAATCGCTCCATGTCGCTAACTGTAATTGTGTAACAACATAAATCGCGAAAGAATTGGCTTATCTCTGTAATTGTATTCCATATATGGGTAGGGAGCAATTATCTCAAAGTAGTGGGCAACAACCTCTCCATGAACACGTGACAATCATGACTTTTCATTCCATGTAACTTACCTGATTGCAAATCAACGCATCGGCTCAAATTGGAAGCGTAACCATCAGGAAACCGCAGCTGTTTGACCCACTCACACAAAACCTTTCTCTGAGCCTTGTCAAGAGCAAATGGAGCCTTTGGCATGAATTCTTTTCCTCTATCATCCTCTTGAAGATGTAGCTGGGGCCGTTTACATTATTTAGCAATGTCATTCCGAGATGATGGGGTGTCACAAGATTGCTTTTTCACGTCCATTATAGTGTGAATCAACTGATCAAAAAAGTTTTTTTCAACGTGCATGACATCTAAGTTGTGACGAACAAGCAGATGTTTCCAATATGGAAGGTCCCATAGAGTGCTTTGCTTGAACCATCCTTTTTTTGCATTCTTGACACGTTTCAGTGCCTCGGGGCCATCTGTTGCTTTCGGGAGGTTTTTCACACATTCCCAAAGTTCCTCTCCTGACATGATGTGAGGCGGTGAACCTTTTTCGACTTTGTTTTTACAAAATGCATTTTTACTATTTCGAAAAGGATGATTTGTCGGAAGGAATTGACGATGGCAGTCAAACCAAGAAACCTTACCATAATATTCGAGCCAAAATGCTTTGCTTTTCTCCATGCAATATGGACAAGCCTTCTTACCGGCTGTGGTCCAACCAGATAACATACCATAAGCCGGGAAGTCACTAACGGTCCATAGGATGGCTGCTCGAAGATTGAAATTTTGTTTTCTCGAAATATCGTAAGTATTTTGCCCCAACTTCCCACAACTATTTCAACTCGTGTATGAGCGGCTGCATGTAAACATCCAAGTTGCCCTTAGGGTTTTTAGGACCAGGAACGAGTAACGAAAGAAACATGAACTGTCTTTTCATACACATTGACGGAGGCAAGTTATAAGGGGTCAAAATGACAGGCCAACATGAATACTGTCCCCCAAACTGACCATGTGGAGCAAATCCATCCGTACATAGGCCAAGTCGAACATTACGAGGTTCAGAGGCAAACTCAGGAAAGAAACTATCTAGGTGTTTCCACGCTTCACTATCACTAGGGTGTGCCATTGTGCCTTGAACTCGAGGATTTTTAGCATGCCATGTCATTTCCTTATAAATGTTTTTAGTTGCAAAAAGCCTTTGCAACCTAGGTGTGATAGGGAAATAAAATAGAACATTCAAAGGCACTAAGCTACCTTTAGAAGTCTTCTTGTATCGGTCGCTGCCACAGACCCTACATGTAGATAATTGAGCATCATCTTTCCAAAACAACATACATCCTTTCGGGCATGCATGAATCTTTTCATGGGGCAGCTCTAACCCCTTAACAATTTTCTTGACCTCATAGAATGTCTCGGCCATGTGGTTGTTGTTAGGAATCGCTTCATTAACCAAAGAAGAAAATCCATCAACACATCTGTGCGGCAAATTATACTCACACTTTAGGCTAGTGATTCTAGAAGCCATCTCTAACACAGACAATGAACTCCCTTTGTACAACGGTTGTTCAGAAGCCCTTAACAAATCAAAAAATGGCTTGGCTTGTGCATTAGGCTCCTCCTCTAATGAAACAGGTGGCTCTTTGGAATGGCCTTGATCTTGAGACTGATCAAAGGCATCCAAAACCATTTCACGATATTCATTTGACTCCCTTCTACGAGTTCTTGGAAACCCTTCCTCATGACACATCCACTCGTAGTAATTAGGTAAAAAACCGCTGCGATACAAATGAAGTTTGACCGTATCTGGATCCCAGAGACGTTTGTTTTTGCATTTAAAACATGGACACCTAACTTCATTCGGGTTGCTACTCTCGGGATGATCTTCCACATATTTAAGGAATTCATCTACCCCCTTCAAGAACTCGGGATTAATAGAATTCACAACCTTCCTTTCGTACATCCAGCTACGTTCTTTTCGTTTCATGATTACAAGTTCTACACAACTAACACATATGCCATTAATCACATTAGTCATAAAAGCACAATATATATTCATTATAGATCAAACTGTTATGGAAATGCAAATGAGAAGAGAAATGATTTCCAAGGGTCCTTATCACTCCAACCTAACCCATCCTTGTACGTTCAATCTCACTAGTGAATGTATGCCAGAATTTCAATTCTATGGAAAATCCGGCAGCATCTTCCTACAGTTCCCCGAGTACACAATATAGGCGATTAGAAACACCTATATATGTACCTAGAGAACATTGTAGAGAAATGACAAGCAAGGATCTTCCTTAGAATTAAAACAAAGGAATACATTCACCACCTAAGTGAGAATAAACGTACAAGGACAGTCCCAACCGGGGACTATATAAGACATACTCCTAATGTGTATGCCTTGAACGGGTATCTAGGCATATGATTATGCAAATGATTTTTTTTAAAGATATTAAAACTAAACTAACATACAAAAAATTATACAAATATATCATAATTAAACTTACCATAAAAAAACATATCATAAAACCTTAACATTAATATAAACAAATCAAACCAAACAAAACCAAACTAAACTAACATATCATAATATTAAATATAGTAACATGCATTATAAAAAATTAAACTTAAGTAAGAAACATTATATTAAACTAAACAAAACTAAACTAGATTATAATGAACTAAAGTAATCTAACATACATCATATTAAACAAAACAAACAAAACGTACCTAAAGTTTCATAATATTAAACTAATCTAATATACTTTAGTAAAACTAAACTAAATTAAACCACATTATATTAAAATAAAGTTTCATAATATTAAACTAATCTAATATACTTTAGTAAAACTAAACTAAATTAAACCACATTATATTAAAATAAACTAAATTAAAGTTTCATAATATTAAACTAATCTAATATACTTTAGTAAAACTAAACTAAATTAAACCACATTATATTAAAATAAACTAAACTAAAGTTTCATAATATTAAACTAATCTAATATACTTTAGTAAAACTAAACTAAATTAAACCACATTAAAATGAAAACTAAACTAACATACTTACACAAAAAAAAGTAACTAAACTAAACTAAAACACATTATATTAGGGTTTGTAATGTGACTAACCTTTAGATCTGCACTTCTTTTTGACAAATTGTACAAATCCTACATACAAAATATTTAAAAACAATAATTAAATTAAATAAATAAGGGTTTATTATTAAAAAAAAAAAATTAAAAAAAAAATTGGGGAAAGGACAACTTACCAACTGCTTCAGCCACGGCGAGGGAAGGGAGGAGGCCGGAGGCTGCGGTGGTCAAGGGAGGCTGCGGTTGTGGTGTCAAGGAAGGCTGCACAATTGAATGTGTTTTAAAAAAAAAACCGAATAAAAAAAATAAAAAAAACAACAAAAAACAAAAACAACTTACTTAGACGCGGCGCCGGCAACAACCAGGAGCGTCAACGGAGGGTCACCGGAAAACGAAGGCTCGACCTCTTTCTCTTTCTCCTTTTCGTCCTCCTTTCGTTTTGGTCTTCGTCGGCGGCAGTTTGGTGACGACCGGCGCCGGAATCGGGATGGCTGGCGACGGAGGATGCCCCTTTTTCTCTTTCCCTCTCTCTTTCTCTCTCCTTCTCTTTCTTCTGTTCCTAATTCGATTTTTTAGGTTTAGCCGTTTAGTCCCCAATTTGGGTTTTTTTTTAAAAAACGTATAATATTGCGACGGAATATTTTTCCCTCGTAATTTTCTATTTACGACGGAATATTCCATCGCAAATATATTTTTGACGAAATATTCCGTCGTAAATAGAAAATTACGACGGAAAATATTTCCGTCGCAAAATTACTACGGAATATTCGTCGTAGATATTTAAATCCGTCGTAAAGTTGCGAGGGAAAAAAATCCGTCGTAATTTTTGAATTTTGCGACGGAAAAAACCGTCCGTCGGAAGTAAACCGTCACTATTTTGCCTATTTCTAGTAGTGCTCTCCACTTATTAAAGAAAGAAGTAAAACCTTCATTCTCTTTTTGTCTTAGCATCTCAAGTTGTCTATGATCGGTTTCAACTTGAATATTGCACTTGTATCTATCAACGAAAGCTTTTACTATCGATTCCCAGGTAGAGGTTTTCTCCTTGTCAAAGGAGAAGAACCATTGTTGGCAAACGGTTTCAAGAGATAGTGGGAATAGAGAGGGGAAAACCTTCTTATCGATACCCTTAATGTTCATTATAGTTTCGAAAGCTCTTAGATGGAAGTAAGGGTTATCTGTTTCCTTGAATTTAGGGATGTCAGTGGCGTTGAACTTATGCGGAAGAAGTTCCTTGTCCAGAGAGACCCCTTGTGAACTCATGCTCTGAAATTTATAGTCACTAGATAGCTTGCTTAGACTCTCTTGCATGAGGTTCATTCGTTGTTGCTTCATGGGATCATCGATCTTGAGTGTGAGTAGCTTCAGTGTCTCAGTCACGGTAACCAGTTGGTTCCTAAGATCATTGACTTCCTCTTGAGTTGCCATTATCTTTTTAGCCTTCCTCTTTTGACGAATTGGTTTATCAAAAAGTGAGACTTGAATAAAGAGATTGTCCTTAATTAATTGCCCTTCTCTCCTCGACCAAGTACTGTGGAAAAGGAATTTGGGGATATTTATTGTTAATTATTTGACTCAAAATTTATTCAACATGCAATGGAAGGAGGAAGTGAAGAAAGATTGGAAGAGAATGTGAAGAAGATTTAGATGGAGAGATATGAAGAATTAGGAATAGAATGTACCCCCAACTCAAATGACGGAAAAGACCGACTCATGCATGAACCTAAGACATGGTTATGGTGATGTGTAATCAAAGTGTTTGCTAAGACTAGTGAGTTTAAATGACATGTTAAGACTCGTGTCATGACCATGTGGCTAGACTATATGACTAGACTCAAGCAAAGATTAAGTTAAGACTTCACGTATATGCATTAAACTGGATAGACTGTGGTAGTTTAGTAATAACTTTTTATCTGTGACTATGATTTGGATGAAACCAACGCCAAATTAAAGATAAAACTCGGGGCTACAGATCCATAGGTTTTAAGACTCGTAGTTCTTCCTAGAACTCCGGCTATGACCAAAACAAGTTGACATTTGTGCAGTATACGGGAATAAAAAAATCCGGGTTGACTTAAAGGAACTATGACTCGATTTTATATTTATTTATTAGCTCAAATTAATTAATTAATTAAACAAAGTCCTTTAGTCATTAATCAGTTTATTTAGTCTTAACACAAGTCAAACAAACGGTTAGGAAAAATCACATAGAGTATGCACAACAAATAATGCACAATTAGTCAAGTAGGCACAATATGATGCAATGAGTTTGCAACCTAACCATGGCTCTATTTCTCTAAAGTTCGGGATATGGCTTAGTCAATAGAGGGTCCATGGTTAATTTTCCGGATGCACCGCGCGGAAGCCTAACCATGAAGGGTTGGCGCGAGTGGATGGGACACTGCGAGTTTTAGAAAAAACTCGCTTCTATGGTTTGGTGAATTCAACATCTCGGATGTACCCTTTGTTGCACGGAGCGTTCAATCGGGTAGATGGAGCATGAATTCCCAGAGGGTTATGTCCATATGTAGAACACATATGGGTTTCAGAAAAGTGAGAAAACATTCAATCAGGAAGTAGGATCGAGCAAACAATACGAAAAACTGGTCGAAAATAGAACGCATATTTCTGGCTCCGTATTGGGGGAAATTGGCGCCAGCAAATAGAGACTGGCGCCAGCTTTTAACTGTAGCGCCTGGCGCCAATACTGGCTTCTGGCGCTACGACTAAAATGCTGGCGCCAAGCTCTAGCCCCTGACGCTACTTCCCACATGCCTCAGCAGCTTTCTGTGCTCGATAAAATTTTCCAGTTTTGCGCGGTGTTATTTCTGTCCAAGTTGTGAAAGATATTTCTCAAATTTCCTACGTGTAAAATCCTATGTTTTTAACTCATTACGGATGGTCTTTCCAATGAGATCTTTTTTATGCATATGACAATAATGTTAATCAAAATTACGCACATGAAATACTTAGAACGTTTCGAGTCTCATCCACTCATTCTAAATCATTGCCGAAACAAATTCAGGAATTAAAATAGAAATCCTCCCCAGTGGAGTCGCCAAAAATTGTAGGGAATAAATTTCAAGTGTTAACCCCTAGCTTGAACCCCACTGTGATCATACACTAAAGTACGGTGGCATCCAAAAGGGAAGAAGATAGAGCAAAAGAGTCGCCAACAAGTTTTAGGAACTTGTAAACCATTCACAGGGTGAAGGTTACACCCCTTAACGATCCAAGAGATCGTCAACTCCATAAGGTCTAGAACCAAATAAGGGTTCGGGGATGAAGGTACAAATCCAACCTAAAAGAGATTGAACCTGCCCTAAAAATAGACCTCTACTTTATTCTGATCGTATTCATGTGCGTTTTTTGACTAACATGCAATCAATAGGATTAACCCTAAATCTGTTTATCTATGTTGGTTGAATATAATGCACAAATAAACTATTATTGGCGATCACTTGAAATATAATCAAATTAACCCTAACAAGATTATTAATTATCTTATTAAGCGTGGTTACAAATACCAATTCCCTTTAAACATGCATAAAAGGCGTGATCAAGCAATAAATAATAAGCATCAAGCAACATAATAATAATCATCATTATAAAATTATAATTATAATGAAAACAATAATAATCATAAATAAAATAATCATCATCAAAATAATAATAATAATATTCATAATCATCATAAATTATAACAATTAAACAAAAATAATCATGTTCATGTTAATATTAAAGCATAATAATAATAGCAAGATCCTAGGCATGATACTAACAAGATTAATAACAAACCCTAGCATGTCACTAAGCAATAAAAATCAAATCTTTAACCCTAACACGATACTAACATGAATAAATATTAGGAAGAACATAGGAAGCATCGTAACAATCATATTTAATATTAAAATTACCCTACACATGATACTAGGAATATCATAATAACAATGTAAA